GCAAGCAAAAGGACATTGTAGCCTGCTCCTCTTGCTTCTCACCGGTGCTCAGACAACTTTATCTGTTCTAGTCTAGCTGAGGTATTTTTAGTGTGTCTAAGAGCCAAATACAAGCCTAGAATTGCTCTGAAAATGTCCAGAAAGGAGTCTCCTCTCCTCTATGACTTGCTTTGGCCATTGTTACTTAGAGTGTTTGTTTCTCCTTTTCTTGTTCTTCTCCCCTTCTTACTTCTTCACTGCATCCTTTTCATTATCTGTCCATTTGAAACAATACCAGTTCCTTTTAAGCCTCTGTTATCAGGGAAGGCTTCTGACAAAAGCTGGTTCTGGTACCTTATTTTGAAAGTGGCCAGGATAAAGTTCACCCCAATTCTCATCTTATTTCATTTTAAATACTTGGCTACATCTGGTGCCTATCCTAGACTCTAAACATCTCACATTAATTTAAACAAAACGATCCCACAACCATCCAGTAATTCATCAGATTTCCAGCCACACAATACCACTAGCAGACTCTTCTTCCCCCCACCCAACCACGAAAACAAAACAAAACAAACTCTCCTAAAGCCTAAGACTCCAACAACTTGATCATCTGTAAACTTATTAGTGACTTTTGTGCCTCTCGCCGCATTTCTCTTCTCTTGTTCAGTAATAGATTTTAACATTTCCAGCTTCACTCTTGCTGTCTGTGCAGGTGGAAAGCAGACACTGCCCTATGCAACAGCACCATCTGCTAAAAACCCAGGGAACTGCATCAGCATCAATGTCCAATTAAGATGCCCAGATACACTGTGGATCTCTGTAACTAACTTATTTCAGAAATTGATTTTTTTTAATTGACAAGAGAAATGATAAATAAAGGTGGTGTGTGTGTGGGGGGGGGAATTAAGGGTAAGGAAAGGGTAGACCGAATGCCCCAGGAATAGTCAGTTTTTAAAATTACTCTGCAATTTCCTTCTGTCTTCTAGTGAAATTGACAATGAAATCAGCGCAGATCTGGAAGCCCTTCAGGTAACAGTTCTGTAACAAATGTATATTGTAGGAGTGTCCATTTCACCCTCTTTGGAAGGGAGCAGCTGGCAGTGCATCTAGGCAGGACAAAGCTTTGGAGAACCGGCTGTAGGGAACAATTTTGGACTGGCCACAGTTGGAGAGATGGTCTAGATTAGCTGATAGGTCTCCAGCATTGATTTCTAGAATTCCTTCCCTATGATCTGTATCTGTCAGATTCCTGACACGCTTCACTGCAAAGTCCACTATAGGCAGGGGCACAATCCTGAATTCCAGTGGAGTTCGGGTGTTTCATTTTTATGTTTTTAGAGCTCTTGGTATCTAATTGCTGCAGAGGGCTGTTTCCCTAGTCAAGCTAATGTAGGGACAACATCTGGAATGTGAAGTGTTGGAAGTGTTCCAGCTACAGAACCGCTGAAGTAGCAAAATAGACTCCTGCTACTGGAGGAGACAAACACTTGAATGCCCCAGAAGCCGCCATATTCATTCTACAACCACGTCAGGCTGCAATTCCGCCTGCTACAGCCTGTGTGAATGTGACAGTGGAGCAAAGGGACACGCCCTAGGCCACGCAATCCTCTTGAAACAGGAGAGGACTCTAATCCAGGGAGCACTTATCGCACCTGTTAGTCAAGGATCTCAAAGCACGTTACGAAGGTGGGGCGGTGTTATCGTCATCCCCGTTTGACAGCCAGGGATCACAGCAGAGCAGAAGAGCCAAGAACAGAACACGGATGCTGAAAGTAAAGGGTGACCCGAAGCAGAACACCGGATCGGAACGTTAGGGAAGTTCAGATCTAATCCAGAGTGTGTGACTGTCCAGCTAGACGAAACGAGTAAACCACAGCTGAAAGGCCGACGGCTGTGGGATGGGAGAGAGGCGGTGAATCACAGCTTCCGCCGCCTCTCAAAAAAGCCAACAATGTTGGGAATCATTAGGAAAGGGATAGATAATAGGACATTTGGGGCCACAATCATCAAGAGCTCAGCACCCAGGATGCACTCAACATGCTGAGCTGTGCCTGACTGGGGGGTGCTGAGCTCCTTGGACATTTCTTACCTTGGAGTTGAGCTGACCTGGACTGTAAAAGGCGCAGGATGGACCCCTCCTTTGGACACCTCAGACTGTTTGACTCTGACAGGTCTGTGCAGTCATTGAAACAACGATGGGATCATAAATATGACCCGTAAGGAGATGAGCAATGGGATTCGTTTCTCCCCCTGAGAATGCTGCTTAGGGTGACCAGATGTCCCGATTTTATAGGGACAGCGCCGATTTTTGGGTCTTTTTCCTATATAGGCTCCTATTATCCCCCACCCCGTCCCGACTTTTCACACTTGCTGTCTGGTCACCCTAACGCTGCTCTAAAGCCTCAGCTCCAGCCACAAGTAGGAAACTCCCTCCACTGAGGGCAACTTGCGCTCTCGCTTCAGCGGGTCGGACTCTGCTGCTGTCAGTTACGCTGTGAGCAGGGAGCGACCCCGCCGCAGGCAGTGGAGTTACACCGGGACAGGAGCAGCCTGGCCCAAAGCACTGGCCACCCACTGACCTGGTTAACTCTTTGCTTTTGAGTGGCTGGAACTCATCACCGTCACTTAATGGGAGGAAGCTGCATCGTCCCCAGAGCGAGGCCTGACGCATAGAGCACACACCAATCCAGCCCTATGGCACAGAATCAGAGCGAAGAGCAGGGACAGCTCCTTAGGAGCTCCCCTGGATGTTTAGTCAGCACTGATTATTTGTGAAAATAGCTTGTTTTGACCACTGCACTGCTCTGGTTTGCACTTGCACCAGGGCAGAATGTTCAGGATGGGGTGTTGAGATCACAGTGGATATATGCAGTAGCTCCAATTTCAAATAATGGAAACCATAGATCTAGTCTTGGCCTTGACAGCCCTGGAGCCTGAAGCCTTTGTGATCGGGAGCGCGTTGAGCCCAGGAGGCAGCAGAGTACGCGTCCTACACTCACTCCACCAATACTTTCAACCCTGTCCCAGAGGGACCCTCTTCTCTCAGGCTCCACGGCCCATTCAGGGCCTCCTCGCTGAGGAGCTGTAATTGCATTAGAACAGTCACTTGGCCAACCTGGGTTTGGCTCATACCAACCCCCTGGAGCATCAAGACTCCATGACAGGCCCCTTAGAAGGAAACTGGGCTGAAGAGGCTGAGGGCCACGGGGAGGCTGTGAACAGTCACCACCACCGCTTCAGTTACAATCTTTGATTGAAGCCTAATCATGCAATGCAGATTGGATTTGGGATCCCAGCGATTCAGAAATCATTTGGAGCACAGTAGATAACAGGTAGCCACCTTGAAAAGCTGGAGCCTAGCTTGGGATTGTTCCCAACAATCCATTTTGCCTGGTTCCAAGTGGGCTAAAAGATGGCACTTTTATAGGGCTGGCAGGGGGCTAGTCTGCTGCCCCGTGCTTAGCACCGGTAGCAAATGTTTCCTGACATAGCAGGTTTTCCTATTGCTGGTCTCTGAAGAATAAATTGTTAGCACGGTGATGCCAGCTGTCGTATTACTGAGTACAGACCACACAAGTGGAGTATTTGGGTGCCTCATTCCTGTCCTGCCTGCAGTTTAGCCTCTGAAGGGATTTTACAGCAGCGCACACTCCTCGGTGGAGAAATGAGTCGCCTTCAGAATAGGGATGACCTAAATCCAGATACAGGGACAAGTGTCATAGAAAAAAAAACCCATGGACGTAAAACTACTTCCAATTTCAGAGCAGTCAGATCTGACTCCCCGCATCAGAACCTGCCCACAGTGCTAGAGCCGCTCCAGACTCAGCAGGAGCTTGGTTTCCTGTCCCTCATTCAAGTTTGGATTCTGCCCAAATTTACGAGGGCAAATGAAATTAAATGTCCCCCCATGTGGGCAGTACGCCAATGAGATTTTGGCACCACTGAATCAAACTAGATTTTCTCCAGCTTCCTCTCTTCTAACATGAACCCTCCAACACAATCCCATTCCAGCCACTTCTTCCAGAGGGCCAGGCAGACACTGGAAACAAGGCATTTGCATCTGGTTTTTCACAAAGCATTTAAAGGTCCCAGCTCTGAGAGGTCCCCTAGCCTCATGCAAAGGACCCTAGATGTGATGGATCCAATACATGGGAACGAATTAATCTCACTTAGGCCTGGTCTACACTACGACTTTAATTCGGATTTAGCTGTGTTAATCCGAATTAATCCTTAACCCATCCACACAACGGAGCCAGTTACTTCGAATTAAAGGGCGCGTAAAATCGATTTCTGTACTCCACCCCGACGAGCAGAGTAGCACCAAAATCGATTTTGTAAATTCGAATTAGGGGCAGTGTGGCCGCACACCACCGAATTAATGTGGTTAAAAACTGAATTAATGTGCTTAGTGTGGCCGCGCACAATCGAATTTATACAATTTGTTTCCCAAATTCGAATTATCTAAATTCGAATTAATCTTGTAGTGTAGACGTACCCTTAGAAGACATTGAATACCCATGAGATGATGGAGCAGCTTAGAGTCAATGTGAATCTGGATCAGACTTGCACCAGGGAGAGGTGTGGTATAGACCCGAGTACAGGACATAACGGCCATACTGGGTCAGACCAAAGGTCCATCTAGCCCAGTATCCTGTCTTCCGACAGTGGCCACTGCCAGGGGATGACCAGAACAGGTAATCATCAAGTGATCCATCCTGTCACCCATTCCCAGCTTTTGGCAAAATCAGGAACCTGGTTCTGCTCCCAGCTCACTGCATGGACTTCCCTTCCGCACCTCGGTTTCCCCGCCTGCAACACAGGGAGAACACTGTTCCAGCCCCCATGCAGGGGGAGGGGAGAGCAGTGTTTGAAAGATGCTTTGAAGACTCAAAGTGATTATCACTGGTTAGAAAATTCAATCCGTGTCAATACTTGCAATTCTCCTATGGCTTTGAATAGAGTGACCAACAGGGAGTGTAAAGTGTACTTAGGAGGAAGAGGAGAAAGGATACATATGATCATCCTTAAAAATATTACACATTTTATTGTCCTGTCCCAAGAGGGAGGAGGGCTGGTTTCCCAGAAACCTCAAAGCTTTTTTAGAACATAACAGAGGCAGATAAAAGCTGACTACTGCCTATTGCTGTCTTCCTACCTGCGGACATTTGCATCCCCCCCAGCCGTTGAAGGACATTCAGTAGCGAACACAATAAAATGCTTCCATGACTACCGTTCTCCGATGCCAAGGGGAGGGGGGGGAGAGAGAGGATGAATGACAAAGGCATGGAATGTTACAGTTTCCATTGTTACAATAATCAGCAATATTTTAATTACATGACAAAGAAAAACTGTAATATACGATGCTAGGTGAATATATATTTATATAATAAATCCGTAAGTTAATAAAGTAAATAGGAACCCTATGAATTTTTTTAATTTTAAAAAAAAAAAAGGTTGATTTTTTTGGTCCTCAGAAAATCCTGCTCCAAGACAGTTGTGAAAAAGCGTGTCAGGAGATGCCCCAGTAGTGAACTGGCAAGGGTGCTTGCTCTGATAGCCGAACAGACTGGGGGTGCTAGCATTCCTGCTCTTCAAAGAAGATGCTAAGAGCCTTTGAAACCCTTATTTCCTATATGCTTTGAGTTCCTGGCTTCCCTCCCTCTGACTGGAAAGCTCTGGCCCTCCGACTTGGCTGGGTAAGGCTGCTGGTGTACAGGGTGCAGAGAGGTTCCCAGCTCTGCGAACTGAGAGCGTGGTTAGTTTAGCAGGCCTGTGTCTGACATGCATGCAGCCAAGTGTGCTTAGCTGCCTTTTCCCAGGATCCTCTTGCTAAACAGCTCACTTGCCAATATGTGCAATGGGGATCCGACGGCAGCAACTGACTCCGTGGCTAAGGGTGGCTGAGATCCAAGGGCTAGCAGACAGCAGCAGGGGTGTGTAGATCCATAAACTGCTTTGAAAACTAATGCTGTCATCATTTCCTCCTCCGCCCAAAGTCTCCAGCTCACTCCAGTGTGCTAAAGGATCCCGAAGAGCCAGAAAACCGCGGGAAGGGGAAAAGCACTTTCCATTATGTGTAAATATAGCTCCTGGCAAGCCCACACCAGCTCTGTGCCTCACCCTAATGGGAAAACCGCCACTAAGTCGCAGTAGCCTTCAATAGAGTTGGGTCAACATGGCTGCGATAACAAACAGTGAAGTTTTATGGCTTGGTATGAAGTTGACTACAGTGGATTTGTGACAAGCGTTGAGTGATGTGAATACAAAATGACTCCACTTGGACCACCCCAATCCCCTCCCCCACACACATGCTTGTTCAGAATGTAAAACCCCAACCCTTGAGGGTCTCCCTACCTGACAGCCAGAGGTCACTTGAGTATGTACAATGCAAACAGGATTACAGTTCAGTGATAAAGTAGGTTGTCTCTTTATACCTTATTGCTTTGTTCTTGCTAAATGTTGCCGGTTAATTAAAAGCCACCGCACAAGATTTCCTAGGAAAGGCACAGAGTTCTCTGCCTCCAGATCTCAGAGAATTTGGTCTGTGTAACAGCAATTCAAAACGCTTCCCCACAAAGTCCAAAAAACGGTAGCACCGAATTTTTTAAAAAGGGAATGTTACAATTTTGTGAGTAGCAAAGATTAAACCACAAAAAGCCCAAGGCTACTAGACAACTAGTACTGTGTTAGCCGCCAACACAGACACCGCTGCAGGCTGGCTCAACAGAGCAACATCAGCACTCAGACGGAACTGAAGTCCCTTGGGAGTCTAGTTAGTTTCACCAAGGAAATAACCATGAAGCAGCAGCAGGGAGTGGCTTTTCATGCATGCACACTGTCTGGGAGTGGAGGGAAGGCATTGCTGATACCTACGTTAAAGGGATACTACATCACGTCACCCTATCCCACATACTGCCTAGCCCAGGTAACTGGAGATTTGCTAGATACCATCACTGCTATTGAAATTAAGGGGAAGAGGAAGAGACTGGATTGAGGTGCAGGAGATCTGGATTGAGGCAGGTTTAAGAAAAGAGGGAATTCCCTGATGGATTTTGCTGGGGTGATTGACAAAGACAAACCGCTTCGGATTTCTGCTACACAGTGGCATAAATTAAAAGGGCAGAGAGACAGAGACAAAGGGAAAAGGTTCAATTTCAAAAACATACCAGTCGACAGATTTTTTTTTTTTTAAGCTCAGTTGAAAAAATAGACCGGGATATATTTAACAAAAATAACCATCTGAACCAGAGCCACTTGCATGTTTTCAGACTCTCCCTTTTTTCCCCCCTTGCCAAGAAATCCCAAAGCAATTAAATGTGAGAAAAAAAAAACCATTTCAAGCCCGCCCTCCCAACATGTTTAACAGAGCAAAGTGAAAAAAAAAAATCATTGCATAGGTACATGGTTCATATAATATGCAATAATAACCGGAATGTAGGCTAACTCCCAGGCTCCCCCAGTGCGAACGTGGCTTTCCATCCTCTGGAGGCGAGGAGGGGCGATCCTACCACTGCGGGACAGTTTGTGTGTGTAAATGCAGAGCAGAGAATCAGGCCTTCGCTCCTGCCGTCAAAGCGCCAGCGCTTGCTGCCGCCGCCACCAGCTCACAGGTCGCTCTCGCCGTACAGTGCCGTGGAGAAGGACTTGTAGTCCAGGGCTCCGGAGACGGCGTCGGGACCCTGGTATGGTGCCATGCGAGCGATGCAGTACTCCGCTTGGTCTGGGGGCAGCTCTCGCCTCAGCTCCTCCGCTGTGATGTAGTTCTGGGGTGGAAGGAGATAAATAGCCCTTGAATGCCTGTGCTCTTCCCAGACTGACAGCTGCTCTCTCAATCTAGGCTGAGCCAGAAGCCCCAGGTAGTGATGTAGTGCAGGGGCTGCTGCTTTGCCAGCCCACCCTGTGCACAGGCCCTCCAGGAAAGAGAAGGCTGAAGCTAGTCCCTGCCGATGTCCTCAAACTGGCATTGAAATGCATTTCAAAACAGCACAATCAAGTCACCTTGATCCTCAACCAGCTCCTCTGTTTCCAGATCCAAAGCCGCCTGCCTTGTTTTTAAACATGCTCACTGCTCTGGCTATGGGCTCACTTGGCACTAGCCTCTCCTGTTCTCCGGAAGAGCCTTCCTGATAAATTTCCAGGGCAGAGCTCAGATGAAACGGCTTTACTCCCTTCCATTTAACATCGCAGCATTTGGGGTGTGCAGTGTCGGTAAGGAAGTCTGAGCAATACAAAGCGGCACTCAATTTAACGACAGCTCCAGCGACAGCAGAGAAAGGGTCATTGGAACTGCTTACAGGGTTTATTTTAACAGGCTGTAACAGCCACCACTCTGAGCAGCTTCCCACTCCCCAGGACAGACACAGATCTTCGGCTAAGTGACCATCTCTCCACAGACCCTTCCCAGACACATTGCTCCTCTGTCCCCGCCTAAACGCCCGTGCTGGGACAGAGATGGCTGCGTTGACGTGTGTGGGTAAATTAGCACAGCAGACGCTAGATTTGGAAATCCACCCAGGCTCGTGGGAATTCCCGGTGGACTGTGTGTGTGAGCACACTGGTCTCTCCCAACGCCTGATGCCTTAAGCTATGCTTGGGGATGGCAGCGAGAGGCTCGTAACTAGGCACTCAGTTTTGCTACCAAGGAGAGGGTTTAGGAGCTGCCAGAGGTCTTCCCTGCCCCCAGCTTAGCTTCTGTACCCCCTCAAGGATACAACCGTCCCCAACCCTCCACTCTCCCACTCCAGTGCCGGCCTCAGGACAGCAGCAGGAAGGCCATGGCTTGGAGCACACACCCGGAGCGCACACCCCCAGCTGTCTCCCGTGGCCACAGCTCACCTTGTCTCCGGCCAGGACCTTGAAGGAGGCAATGACCTGGTCAGCTGTGTCTGTGTCAGTCGTCTCTCGGGACATGAAGTCGATGAAGGCCTGGAAGGTCACAATCCCGCTGTTGTTGGGATCCACAACACTCATTATCCGGTTGAACTCGGCGTCTCCCTACACAGGCGGGAGGAGAAGCTTTAATGGACATTCACAGACCAGTTCAGGCACAGCTGCAGGAGAGGGGCTTGAAAGGGTGAAGCCGAACACACCCGGTGGGGGCGAAAACAGCAGACCCTCGAGCCTCCTGCAGCCCCCAGAGCTCCTATGCCTGGGCAGCAAGACCAGCTCCAACGGCATTCATCTTTCCAGGCACAGAACGACCGGAGAGTCGCTATCTGCACCCCGGCTCCTTTTCCAGCTGGAATCATTTGGCCCCAACTCCCCGACTAGCAATGGGAAGCACATGCCCGTCTGTTATCTGCTTTTACAGGCCTCACAGCTTTCTCTGGCGAGACCCCCTTCTTCATACAGAGGCACTTAAATGCCACTGCGATTCTCTGCTCCACGCTAGCGCGCACTGGCTAATAGAGGCAGAAGCAGTGCCCTCATGGGAGTCTGCTTTGAACTCATCACGGGGTGCGTGCTCTGCTCTCACACCCGCTCTGACCACCACCGTCAGGACTAGAGTCCTCGGGGCTAGGAAAATGGTTGGCAGTTTATACATGCGTTGCACAGCTCGCCAGGGGCAGATCCTTGACAACTGTACGCAGGAGATCTTAGGCAAGGAACGGCTGGCAGTGAGCCAGTCCCACTTTGGCAGAGGGGCTCAGCTGGGCCTGCACCCCAGGGACCAGGACTCTCCCACCCATCTAATGAGATAGCAGAAGTTTGGCCAGGATCTGCTGCATAGCACGCATGACTGGGAGGAGCAGTTCCAGTCAAGTGCCTATCCTCAATGCATGGGAAGATGGGAGCATCAGTTCCCCCCAGCAGAGAGACCTTAAACCCTAGATCAGAGCGTGACCAAGCTGCAGCGTGGGCTCTCATGTGGATTCCCTGAGTAAAGCAGCTCAGTTTACGAGAGGATTTTCCTAACTTGGGGATGCTGCCAGCTCCACCTGGGATCTGAAAACCTAGCTGGGCTCTCCTCGTCCATCACTAGGAAACACAGATCTCTCAACAGGAGACTTTGCCGCTGAGCATCGTGCTGCGCAAGGCAGCGGGAGGCTCCAGATTGGCTCTACAGTAGTTGCAGAGCAGTGAAAACTTATTTCAGCGGGTGAAAGTGGGAGACCCAGGGAGCAGGGCCTTTGGTCACCTCTCAGCAGAACTGCCTTTTAAACGGACAATGCCCCCGGAAGCAAGTCTGTCACCGCTGAGTGTATCAGCGCCGCACTTCGGCAAGAGCACGGCTTGAGGTTCATGCCATAAAGAGAAGATCAGAGAGAAAGAAGGGAACAAGTTAGTGGATAGCATACCAGGCTGTATCCTGTGGAGATAAGGAGAGCTCGGAAGTCATCTGTGTCCATGCTTCCTGTGCGCTTCTATTCCGAGGGCATGACAGAGGAGGAGAGGGCCAGCCCCGAGAGGGGCAGATGGACGGTGCATGCAAAGACACGAAGGCAGGGGGTGGGGAGAGAAGAAAGGGCGCCATGGAGGGAGAGAGAGGCAGAGAGAAGTTTAGTTTAAGAAGGCATTGTGGAAATTGCCGCACGTGACCAGGCGATGGAGGAGTGGAGATTGAACGTCAGAATTGAACACACAGAAATGGTTGGAGGAGCGGAGGAGAGGAGCGAGGAATGTGGTGAAGAAAGAGAGAAAGGAGATCATGTTAATTGAATTATCAGTAGCAGGCTGTGCAGTAATGACGCTCGGTACCTGTCTGTCATTTTCCACATCGTATCCCAAGCTGATGAGGCAGGCTTTGAACTCCTCGGGTCCCAGGGTACCGCCGTGGTCCTACCGTCGGGGAACCACACAACATGCAGGATGAAGGGGGGGTCAGAGCGTGGCGAGGTGGCCGCACCGGGATTCACAGAGACGATGGCATGCACATTGGGGTGGAGAGGAACAACATGCACATGAGAGGGGCAGGGAGAAGGGAAAAAATACGCCGTTAGTTGAATTGAAATCAACTCTCTGCTTCAGAAGGGAAGGGGTTTAAGACCGAACTTGTTTCTAATTTGTAACCCCGGATGCAGCCTGCCTCGTGCAGAAGGAGCGTGCTACATCCTTAGGCATTATGCCCAAGACAGGCCTACCCCAGGAGGGGGCAGCCACATGCCAACAGCTACGAAAGCAATGGATAAAATGCTCAATGAGCTCCAACGCACGCTCTCCTCCTGAGAGCCTCGCCCCATTTGGCTCTGCATTGCACTGACGGGGCCCAACGAGAACAAAACCCTCAGGAGACGGTAGCCGTGCTGAGATTGATTCAGCAGCCTTGGCATTTGGGAGAATGGTTTCAAAAGTGCCAAGGTGGCTTAGGAACCTAAGTCTCATTAAAACTCAGTTGGGCTCATGCTCCTAAAGTTACTCCTGGAAAGCGGATTTAGGCGCTTTTGCAACATTGACCCTTGCTCTCTAGTTGGACAATTGGAGCTCTCGTAATACGCCCGGCTCCTGGGGAGGAAAGCTCTAAAGCCACTTCCTTATGAACAAGTCTCCTTCACTTGTACTCGGGCACCTCCAAAATCAGTCTGGCTGGGGGCGGGTAGGGGCTGAATCAGCTGCTGGAGCAATTAAAGCTGGCTCCATGACTCTGTTTAGAGAGGACGAAGGGTATTTTAAGTGGGACAGTTCTTTGCCTGGCCTCCCTTCCAAGCCAATGGCCCCTCCCACTTTTCTCTTTCATGGAAGAACAGCTGCCCACGGCTCCATCTCTCCTGCACAGCTGGGACTCCCCCTCTGCGAGAAAGCAGTTCATTTTTTTCCACTTTTTTTTTTCTTCATATAAACAAAACCCCCAATCTAACCTTCCTTCCTGCTGAAGTACTAGAGGTGGTCAGTGAGTAAGTGGGAGGGGTCTGTTCTTTTTCCTGGGACAACGTGGCAAAAAGGAAGCACTAGGCTAGCACGTAAGAGGGGAGGACGTGACACCAAACCCTGCAGCTATCACCAGCATTAGCACCCTAGTTGCCTTTGGCCCCACACCCATCTGGGAGTCATGTCTGAGGGGCCCTTGGCTACCTTGTCGAAGTGGTTAAAGGAAGCCCGGAATTCCTGCATCTGCTCCTGGCTGATTCCCTTGGCATCGCGGGTTAGGATCTGGTTCTCCACTTCGTTGATGGTGCGGGCGATGGTGGTGAGGAGCTGCTCCCAGCCAACGCGAATATGCTGAGGTCACCAGGAGAGAGGCAGTTAATAGGGTACCGAGCTCCAGGAGACTGGACAATACCCCAGAGAAGTTGGGAGCCTCTTCAAAGGGGCACCAGTTACACAGCTCTAAAAGGGCCGATTCATGCTGGCAGTGATGGAAGCACGTTACACACTGGCTCCAATGCCTAAAGAAAGATCCCCCCTCTAGCTAAGAGCACCTGATGTGCCAGGTTAACGCAGATACTTTGCCGTTATATGGAGCTTTTTACACTTAAACTTATATGCAACATATAAAGATCACACAGACGGGAAGGAGAATATTGGATCAATGCAGAACTGCCGGCAGAAGGCGGTCACCCAAACTGGATCTGGCTTAACACCCTGATCTTTAAAGCAGACTGCTGTGGGCTTTCCCTGAGCGATGGTTCCTGTGGCATGTAGCACGGCATGCTAGCTAACAAACCACTCCCATGGTCCTGGCAAAGGCTAGCTGTGCCGGGTGGTCTGGCTGCAGGCGAAGCACTGACCCTACCTCCATGGTGTAGTTGGTGTGCTTGTTATCGAAGATCAGCGCCTCCTGGATGAGCTGGTGCTGCTGCTCTAGCAGGTCGATGTTGGGCTTGTAGTCCACAATGCTCTGCTCATACTGCTTGAGGTGATTCAGTTGGTCCTCCAGCGTGCCGTTCATCTCGATGGAGATGCGCCCTATTTCCTGGGGAGGGGAAGGAAAACAGCTGGTCATTTTCCATGATGGGACATCTCTGAGCTCCGCACCATGGTGTACTCATCAATGCCCTTGCAGGGCTGGCCCTGCAGACTCAGCCTGGCACCCCCCAAGAACCAAGCTGGGTTCCTGCCTGCTCTCGTACCAGTAACGAAGGGCTTGCAAGCCTAATTCTGCCCTCTGTGGCACCTGTGCAGCCCTTCTGCCTTCGAGCCCTGACAAAGCCCTGGCTGGGATGATTTAGTTGGGGTTGGTCCTGCTTTGAGCAGGGGTTTGGACTAGATACCTCCTGAGGTCTCTTCCAACCCTGACATTCTGTGATTCTAAGGAGCATGCAGAGGTGTATCTGACTGGAAATCAGGAAGCAATCCAGCTGAGGGAACAGGAAGAAAATCCAGTTCAGTCGTAGATGGGCTGGCTCTGCAGGACTCACGGGAATATGAACTTGTTTGTACGAACACGGACTACAGGGAGCTGATTATCGAGTAGGATGCCAGTTGCACATACTGTCCCTTCTCAGAGCACTGTAAGGCCAGGAAATAACTTGCATTTATATGGCACCTCAAGGCACTACCGGAAGTTTAGGGGACTGAAGTATAAAAAGAGCTAACCCAGGTCAGGTTTAGGGCTTCGCTATATGGGGAAATCGACCAGAACAGCTATCATGAAATAACCCCAGGGTGGACTCTCATTCTGGAATAGCTATAGTGGTTTAAATACACACCCTATTTTATATTGGAATAGGTGTGCCCTAAATGCGCAGTATAAGGGAAAGCAGCTGTGCTATCGCAAGCGGGGACATTTCTTCCTAGCACAGTTGGGATGAGGCAGCACAGAACTGGCTATCTGCAGTGAAGAGGACGTTTTAGCTTTCTCTGCAGCAGGATGCTGCCAGAGGCAGGTGGGCAAGGTCAGTATGGTTTGCTCCAGCGGGGTGACAATGGTTCTGAATGCTGCTGTTTGGACACTAGGTGGCACTTTAACCCCAGTGTTGAGAGGATGCAAATCGATGATCAGCTGGGTCATTCTCCTGTTCAAGTGCCGGCTCCATGGCCTAATAAGCCCGCACTCAGGAATCCGAGGTTGGAGTTTCTGGTTGCCCCGCAGCTGGAAGCAGTTCTTGCAGACTGAGCTCTTACCTCCATTTTGGTCTGTATCCAGGGCCCAACGATGTTGGCCTGGCTGGCAAACTGCCGACGCAAGTGCTCATTGGACTGCTGCTTGCTCTGCTCATCCTGCAGAGCATGGTCCCTCTTGGGCACCAGCTGCTGAACCTGTGAGGAACAAGGAACGCCCGTGAAACCAATCCATCTCTGCACTGGTCAGTGCTGGAGAAGCAGCATTTGCCAAGTGCCCAGGCCATGGCCTAGGGATGTGCCCAGGCCATGGCCTCTTCCCAGCCCTGTGGATCCAAGTTTCAATTGCAGAAGAGCAGACTGATTGTCAGCAGGGAGAAGTTCAGCTGTAACAGCCACTGAAGGCCAGGCCCAGGCAGTCGCCACGTGAAGCATCTGAAATGCCGCTCACAGGGCAACTGTTTGAATTGTGCAGCAAGATCCTGACAAAGCACCTGCTCCCAACCTGCCCACTGCTCTACAGCAAAGCTTCATGGGCACCTCTGCTGTTCCCAGTCACACCTGTCTTCCTGCTCGCGGCCGTGATCCGCTGGCCACAACAGCCATTGTGCGCATGGCACAGTAGCGTTAGAGACACGTCGGGGGTCTCAAAGGCAGTGCAGCTGCTAGCCACGAGGCGGCAGAGCCAGCAGTGAGAGTCACCCCTGCGCTGTGATCCTCAGACCACCGTTTGAAAACTGCTGCTCCACAGCAAGGGTATCGCTGCTTCTAAATCAGCCACGATAAGCGCCGAACCGTGCTCAGGCACCCCTAGCTGGAAATATGGCTGCCATCAAGAGGGACAGGAAGTTTTAGAAGAACCATTTGAGGATGAATGTTCATAGCACTCCCCATGTGAGAAGGATCAAGCTGGGGGGGGGGGGGGGGGGGGGGGGTCAATTTTAGTCTGAATTCCTTGGACATCCCCAGAAGCCTGTTTTACCTGGTCACTTTTCCAAGGCAGCTGCTACACCCGCAGCTCTGGCCATTTCCAAACAGGCAGCCTGGGACAATTGCAGCCTCTTACAAACAAAGTCAATAATGACCCATATATGTCAACAGCGGATTGTAAAGCCGGGCATTTCCAGGCGACCCTGGCAGCTATCGCCCCGCAGCATGCACCCACCCTTTCCCACTTGGAGTTGATGATCTGCGGGGTAACCGAAGTGTACGGGTTGTTCCCAGACAGCTTGATGTTGTTGTAGTCCGCAATCCGCTGAGCCTCGTTCTGGATGCCCAGGATGGCCTCGCGCTCTTTGTCTGCATCCGGCAGGGTGGATTTGAACTGATCGTGAGCTGCAATCAGGCCCTGGAAGACACAGTTAGACAAAGGGCTGAAAACCAAGAAGATGGAGAGAGAATTTTTGTGAGCCCAACCCCACCTGGTGCGGTGAGCCCCTGCCGCCTGGCAAAGCGCTGAGCTTGCATTCACACGTGTCTGGGAGTTTGGGACCAACACAAGCTTTGGGCGAGATGATTTTACCCAAGCTCAAATGTCTGAATCTCTTTTCCATGAAAACCGATGCTCCGGATTCCAGCGACCCAGCCTAACTGCAGCAGCGTGAGGCTGGGGCCCGAGAACCTGGCAGTGAAACCGAGTGGCAACAAAACCCCAAAGTGCCTCTCCAAAAGGAAGCACGTGCTCTTCACAGCCAGACAGACCAGCCTTCTAGACCTGGGGAGAAAACTGCAGAGTGCAGCATCTCTGCTTTCACTGGACCACCAGCTCATCTACGGCAAGCCTGGCCTCTCCTACCTCGATCTCCTCTATGGTGTGGACGATGAACATGTCCTGGAGGTCTTCCATGGCACTCTCCATCCAGTTGTTGAACGGCGCTGCCCTCTTGGCGTATTCCAGGTGCAGCTGGTCGATGGTCTCCAGCTGTTTCTCTGTTTTCTGCAGGGGTGACACGCAGGGCACAGCTAAGTTAGGAACAGATACCGATGAATTTCCCCCCAGGAGGTCTCAGGAGCACCATTTCCTCCTCTCTGCCTCTGGGATGTCGAGCACAGAGCCAGCATGCGGCAGACATTTGCTTACCTCAAGGGCTTCTCTCCTACTGTGGGTCAGGGACCCCAGAGCATCCCACTGGTCACAGATCTTCTGGCACCGAGCGTTCACGCTGGGGGAGTCGTAGTAATCCAGCTCACTGGGGTGGAGGGGGAAGGACACAGGTATTAAGTGACTCTGGACATGGCCAAGTACAGATCAGAATTGATGTGGGGCTGCATAAAGTGCAGTAATTTGCATGCTAAAATAGTTTGACATTCCCCAGTGGCTCATTCCTTCATAGACCTTTGTATGGCTTGGCTCCTCTCCAACTCCAGCCTCTTAGTCAGGGCACTGCAAAACCTAGTTGGCTGGGGAATCTGGGGGAAGGTTACAGGGATGTGTCTAAGGATGGCACAGGCAGCAACCCCCACCAGCTACCTTCCTCTCGCAAAGAGATCCCACTGCAGCGGCCTTGTCTACACTGGCAACAGCACATAGGATACGAGTAGCCACACACCACGGTGACGAGCAGGCTGCGTCCACACTGCCATGTGCAGCTACACGCAGCAGTGAAGGCTCTGGCCGGGGAGGCAGCAGCGGAGAGCTACCGAAGCCTTTCTCTGCTGTCTTTCTGCTGGAGCCTCTCTCTGGCAGGGAAGCCGTGGGACATTGCTAAAAACAGCAGCGTAGACGGGAGAGAGAGCTCAGGCGTGGAGAGAGCCCCATTGGGAACATGACGCGGCTATTTATACCCGTGCTGGGAGCACGCAGCGCATGTGTTCTATGCCCTGCCGTGAGCGGGTGGCGGTGTGTAGACGTACCCAGCGACTGCTCTTTGGAAGCAGGCTGCACCGCAGCCGCTTTCAGCATGGCCAGTTAGTAAACGGGAGGTTAAGCCGTACGACAACCTAGCAGCTTTGCTGGTTCAAAGTCCCCCAACTCCCCACAGAGGAGTTAGCCTGGGCCGTGCCCTGCCCCCACGATGGTACAGACTCAACCTGCCCATACATTAAGTTCGAAAAGCGCCGCTGGAAGGCTACAAGTTGCTGCATGTCCAGGATGCTTCAAAGGCAGGGCCGGAGGAGAGATTAAAGCTGCATGAGAAATGGGGAGTGGAACGTCCTGGAGACCGAGGGATGGTGGCAGGGCTAGCAGAGAGAGCTTTGTTTTTAAAAGCAGCCCTGAGAGAGTGACTAAAGGCCAGCTGAAAGGGGAGGACATGCAAGTCACTCCAGAGCGCTCCCACTTTCCGATGAGCCGCGCGTTACAGAAAGCGGCCCGGTGGCTTGTCCAAGGAGCCCAACATGCATGGGAATAGACTGTGCTCCAGGACACACAGCCGCCTCTGCTCTCTCCCCCCTCCGCGGGCTCTGCACTGGGGGGCTCTCTCCATTAAGTAATGCTCCAAGCCACACATCTCCGTTTCCAGGTTCTCTGCCACTCGGGCCGCTGGAATAAGGGCTCCATTCATGGCTTCGCCCTGCCTTCGACTCTCAGTGTACTAATTGTGTGCAAGTTTATCTGGCTGGAAAAAGAGACCGCAGCTCGCTGGAATCTCTTACAATAACTGCATTCTTACAGAGGGGGAGGGGACGGGGACAGAACAATGGGGGTACTGTGTGTATTTTGGGGAGAACAACCCTATTAGAACCCCATTCAAACAGAGGTGCTCCCAACAGTCCAGTTGGAAAGCCAGGTCCCTCTTGGAAAAAAAGATCATGACATAAGCTATAAAAACTACTTTAACTCCGCCAAAAATATCGTACAGTGTTTCTTTGTCCCGGCCCCTCGCTGGAGGAGGGTACTGCTCGTGTCAATGTTGTGCCAGTGCAAGATGGGTACACAGCAAACAACCAAGAGGGCTTGAAAGCCTGAGCCAGAGTGGCTGCAGATGGGGTACAGGCGGCCTGTTCGGAGCACAAAGGCTCTCAGGGCAACACTGCCGGGGCTAAGTAAGATCACACTCTAGGATCAACAAAGGGGGAAGTGGAGCAGATTAGATCGGGGTGGGACAGGCAGAACAAGATCCGTGCACTGGACTGTGTGGGGGTTATTGTGGTGAGATCGATGTGACAGCTCCTGACAGCGCTATCTGGACAAACCCCCCACAGGACACCAAGAGCTGGGGTTTGTCTTTGTGCGCTGTCTGCAGGGTACTGTTGTCTTCCACCCCGAGGTGGCTACACTGGAGTTTGATGGTGCTGTGCGGACACTGTTGTAGGAGTAAGGAAGGCTACGTACTAAGGCCCAGATCCTCAGAGGTGGACTCAGTGGCAGTTAGGAGCTGTAACACCCTGAGGATTGGGCCGAAGGGGGCAGGGTCTCTGGCGTCCCCGCCGTGGAATACCGGGGAGAAAGGCTGGCGTACTTGAGCTCCTGTGCAATGGCCGCGATCTGCTCCACGCGGTCCTGGTGAGCTGCCAGATCGCTCTCGAAGGCCTCGTGCTTCCGGATCAGGGCTTTGATGTCTGACAGGGTGGCGGTTTCGTAGTCCTTCTGCCTCAGCATGGCTTCTTTCCCTGGGGGTGGAGAGGAGCACAGCCAGTTACACCCCGGATCCACAGCACAGAAGCAGGGCGTGGCGGCCGGGCAAGCACCAGAGACACCGGGAACGGGGTCGGTACTAAACAAGCAGCAGCACATGCTGTTCGAGAGACATCACGGGCGTGGGGGAGGGAGGGATGCAGCAGGGTTTCAGAGGCAGGTCTGCTGCCCAGACGCATTGCATCATTTTAATGAGACGTGGAGCTGCCTGTGGTCAGACACTAGGAGGAGGAATAATTCTGCTTTGCGGTCCTGACCCCTCCCCCTTCCATCTTCAGGATGAGGAGCTTGCAGAAGAGGCTGGGAGATGGGCAGTAGTTTCCCACCCCACACGGCTTTTCCCTGGTTCAGCGGGCTCTAGCACTGACACAGCATCCCGCCATCTGCACCACCTTTGCCTGAAGAGATTTTGTCCCTACGTGCTCTAGCCCCACCCACTCGCATTTCACGATGAAGCGCTCACCCATTTTAGGGCAGGGCCACTGCCGGATATTAACGGAGCAGACGCAGCCACGCAGCGTTGCGGCCCCTGCCCTGAAAAGTTTACAGCCTTGACAGATGCAACCCAGGATAACAGAGTGATGTACAGACGACGGGGAGACTGGCCAGGAAGTCAGCGAAGTGCAGTTCTGCAGCACAGCGACTGCGAGGCGAGGGAGTGAAGATGAAGGGTCACTAACATGGGACCCTGCCTCACTTTGGTTAGTGCTCACGGGGACACTGCAGTTCAGTGCTTAGGGTAAGACACCCATGGCCAGTAGAAGGAGCTGAAATCCCCAGTTTCTCCTTCCATAGCCCCTGTCAAAGAGAAGCCTGTGGCATGAAGCCAGACGCAGGAAGTGTGCTCCAAATTGCCTGCCTGCACAAGGACGAATCAGACTGGGGTGTAATTAAAGTGCCATGAACTAAGACAATGGAGCTGATTACATATTCTTAATGCTCTTTATTCCTCCTGGCACATTTTGGAGCTGGAGAGAGAGCCTGCCCTGGAAGGCAAGCTTCCATCCACCCCCCCCACCCCAGCATCAGGGTCTGGCTAGCAAGCCACGTTTGTTGACAACCTACCACATAATTGGTGTTTTTGTGTTAATCTAAAAGCTATTTGAGTTGGGAGTGCCGAGTCTGTTCAGCTTGAAATGCCTTTTGGTTCCAGTCAGCTGTTCCCCAAGATGTTCTGCTTGGGAGGTGCTGCCAGCAGCCGGCCTGGGCCCTCTGGCAGTGGCCGGGGTCTGCGTTCTGCTAATGGCTCCCAGACTGCTCTCTGCACAGAACTGCTTATTAGCGTAACCAGCATCTGCAGGAGAGGCAGTGCCTCCAGTGGCGAGGGCACAATGGGGACTTGAGTCCTGAGTTTGATTCTTGGCTCTGCCACTGACTTTCTAGGCGCCCAGGACCAAATCAAGACCCTCTCTGTGCCTCAGTTTCCCCCAACACCATCTGTCCATCTCGCCTATTTAAACTAAGCTCTTAGGGGTAGGGATTATCTCACTATGTGCATGTACAGCACTGCGCACAATGGGGTCCTGGTCTTGGTTGAGGCTTCCAGAGAACACTAATGTAATTATAATTTAGTTTGCGTCCTCCTCTGATCCCTAAAGGAGGGGCACCTACCCTCCAAACAGTGCCCCATTTTCAGAGCTTGACTGCTTTCCGGAGAGCACATATCAGGCCCCAGTCCACGAGAGAAGGCATCTAGGTCTCCTGTCTTCCAAAGGGACATGTTACTTCTCATGCTCCCAGCATACAACACTGCATTAAGGAAGGGGACAAATGATCTATGGGATCCTGCAAGGATCTTTACAGCGGGGAACAAGGACTTTAGGCAGAGTCCGGTGACATGAATGGGATTACATTCTGAGCTCCCCAAACACTACTGAGCACTGACAGCTTTATTCTGGAGTCAAGGTGGGATCTGAAAATGGCATCTCTAGCACCAAGCCCCACTGCTTGTGGACTTCAAAGAACCATCCCCCTTAGAGCTGCCATTCGAGGACTCGGTACCTCATGGTAACTTAGCTCCTGGGTCTCCACTTTGATGGATGAGGTAGCAGGGTGTGGCTGGTAATTGACTAGCCCCCTATCCTTTGCTGCAGCAAAACAGGCTACCCAGCTGCTGATCAGGAATCTGCGGTGAGGCTGACAAACACCTCCTGGGCCCTCACCCGGGATGGTGACAAAGGACAAGACCAAATATAAGCCCAGCTGTGGAGGAGACAGACAGCTTGTTGGAAGCTTGAGCCATCAGACAAACTGACGCACAGCATGTGCCTTCTCAGCCAGGTTTTGGAGACTTGCAGTAGCCCCAGCTGTCTTCATTTGACTGGCAGAAGAGGGGAACCTAAATTTTCTCCTGGCTCACATCCGCCCCCGCCCATCCCCCACAAGATGACAAAGTGAGGGAAATATAATCAGAACTTTTTCCATGTGCTCCTCCCCACCCAAACTGCCAGCTTCCACTTGAGCCCTCTCACCAATCCACAGAGCGGAACGGCTGTTTTCAACCACAGATCAACCAGATACTAGAAGGGGTCTGCAGCATGCGGAGCACCTCGCTGCTGCTGCCCTCAACCCCAGAGCTGGCTGCATTTCAGCAGTGCTCTGCATAGCATGCAAAGCTGTTTTCGGACGAGGGACCGCTAGGCACTAGGGTCTCCGTTGTCCAAGCAGTCGAGGACTAGTGTGGGGGGAAGGGTGGTGGACTTGAGCTCCTGTGAACTGGCAGGACGCAGCACGGTCACAATAAGGAAAGTTACTACAGGTAACAGAAAACCCACTTCACAGTGCTGAGGACCAAGGGGCAAGTTAGTCATCATGGAGGCCAGTTCCTCCACAGGAACAGAGCCCAAATCATCTAGCGGCTTGTCTGCCCCCGCCCATGCCAGCTTCTCCAGGGGAGGTGGAGTTTAATAGCAACTTACAGGAAGCTTCGGTGCCAGTCAGATACCACTTTGGCACAACACTGCCGTTAACCGCCACACCCTTAAAGCAGCATTTCAGCTGTCCTGCACCCTCCCGTCAGCACCTCTCCAAAAAGCAGACCCCTGCCTGATGCATCAGTCCTGTTCCTCCCACCCCAGGGTCCCCCCCGTCTCTGCCCATAGGGACCTCAGCACCACATGGATCCGTTCTACGAATTCAGTTATTGCAACCACGTTTTTAAGAAGGGAAAAGCAAAACCAGATTGAGTAGCTGCAAGCACCGCTCCCAAAGACAGAGCAAGCCCCTTTCTCCCCTTAATGCTCCATGTGGTATTCTCCCAGCCTGGGCGATGAGAACATTCCTTCTCATACGGAGAGGGGATTACTGTATTTTCTATGGAATCAGATGCAGCTGCCATATTGGAAGGCTCGGAGGGTTAGCCGTCACGTTTAGCCATCTGGCTAGAGAGGGGAGACAAAAACGCCTGAGCAAACCGTAAACAAGCCACAGTGACTGCGTCAAAGGGCACGGCCTCTGAGGAGGAGGACGACAGCTAACCTGATTGCATTCGCTTACGGGACTGGCTAGGGGACCATTTAAACAGACACAGCTTCTGCTGGTCCCATCTGAAAACGCCTGCACAAAACCACAAAGCTGTCAAGAATAGCACTGCCTATGCATTTGGGGACCTGTCAGCTTTAATCCAGGGTCCAGCCACACCTGCAGGGCTCATTCAGAGTTCAAAACACAGGACAAATGTTTTCCTGGCCTTGCCTGTGGTGAGGAATTGAGTACAGAGCAGTAGCTTCTATTCTTAAACTACTCCCACGCGCACACACCCAATGCCCAGAGAGTTGTTTGGAAACACGGCCAAGCTGCAGTAGAGTACAACGGCTCCATAATGCTGGCAGCTGGAAGGCACAAAGTGACTTGCTAATGCAGCTAGTTCCATTCCATCTCCAGACCTCAAAGCTACCAAAAGGTAGCCAAGGATCCATTTCCCTATTCTAGAAATGGTGGGTTGAGTGCCGAGTGACTTGCCCAGGGAGCGACATGCAGAGTCAGCGGCACAGAATCAGAATTCACATCTCCCAACCCCTGCTGGGGATCAGGCCTCTGTCTCCTGGGCAATGCTATCAGAGGCAGAGGAGCAACTGTTTTCAGCCATTCCGCCTGCTTTAAAAGGTTACTCTAGCTTTCCTCTGCCAGATCTAGCTCGCCCGCCCTCACCCATTCCCTGGCCTCAGAAAGAGGGGACTACCTTCAGTCCAGGACTCGTGGATGGAGGCTTTCTGTCTGAACTTCTCAGCCAAGTGGTCCAGTCGCTCTAGCCTCCTGATCTCATTCAGCAGCCATTCTTCATAGCCTTTCTCCGCCTGTTCCAAGTGCTGCCAGCCATTATTAATGTCCTGGGGGGTGAGCATAGGAAATAAGGCATTTAGAGCAAGAAAGGGCTGTGTCAGACTGCCAGCAAGATTATGAGGCACCTAAGGGGAATCTCAACGATGGGGAACATATTTGGGGAACAAATATTTAATGGGCTCTTCAATCTAGCAGAGAAAGATCTAACAGTCCAATGGCTGGAAGCTGAAGCTGGACAAATTCAGCCCGGAAATAAGAGGTACACTTTTAACCGTACGAGTAATTAACCATCACTGACAATTTTTAAATCAAGATGGGATGTTTTTCTAAAAGCTCGGCTCTAGGAATTCTTTTGGGGGCAGTTCTCTGTGTGCTATACAGGAGGTCAGACTAGGTGATCACAATGGTTCCATCTGGCCTTAGAATCTATGAATGGCCCACACTTCCAGGGTGACAGCATCAGGTTTTCCCTTTCCCATACTGGATGTTAACACCCTCTCCGTTACAATATTTGCTTTTTCCATGCCATATGCATGTGTATATGTAATAACTAACACTTGGGAGGATGGCAGCCCAGCAACACCACTAGCCACTGGGGGAAGTTAAATGCCACAAAATATTTGCTACCAGGAACAAAGGAGCATACGCATCTCTGGCACATACAGCTGAGAAATGGGGCTGAGACCTCACTGCTTAGGGCCAGGGTTCTCAACCTTCAGCTGCAGCCCCAGGGGTTTCAGTCCCAGGCGGTGGGGCTTTGGCTTTCTGCCCTGGGTCCAGCGAGTTAACACCGGCCCTGCTTGGCGGCTCCCCCGAAACCTGCTCATGGACTCCAAGGGGCCCCGGACCCGTGGTTGAGAACCACCGGCTTAGGGTACGACTACATGGTGAAAGCAGTGCCAGAGCCAGCCCACTCGAGCTCGCCTGAATCCGACTAGCAGAGAGAACGAGGAGAGGGAGGCCAGAGCCGCGCAGGTTTCAGAGCGAGCAGAGTCTGCACTCAGGGCATATGCTGGGATTGTTCTACCTGTGCTGTCTTCACTGCTGTTAGCCACACTAGCAGGATTCACACTAGCTCGGGTGGGCTAACCCATCCACACACTGTTCTTGCTGTGCCGACGTACCCTTCGTTACCCAGGTATAGGCAAGGAGCATGCAGTAAGGTCAGTTACGCTGCAGGCCTTGAGGAGACACTAGGCTCTGAAATAGTAGCAGACGCAAACGAAGGGAGACGCTGACTGCTGAGGGCCCTCACTTACACCCATGCACTCCCACGAAGGGTTTTGTAGGTGTGAGCGAGATTTGGATTTGGCCCTCAATCTCCCAGCATGAGCACACAAGTCCTCCCCCTCCAGGCACTCGTGTTAGCACTGCCAGGAAGCATGCAGACTACGGAGGGACCACCCACAAGGAGTCCAACACTTGGCTGCAGTACCCCGCAAGCAGGTCACCCAAGAGGAAGTTGCTTCTGGACTGTTAATAGGAGCTAGTAAGCGGACTCAAGTCAGCTTTCGGTACAGACCGCTCCCTCCTCATCTCTGCCAAATTCAGTTCTGCTCACTCCGCTGCGCTAAAGGCCTCACTCTGCTTTGCCCTTCCCCCTCAAGCGTCTTCCCTGCCCTCAGAGCCTCACTGCTTCAGACAAACACAGTTACTCACCGAGACCATCTTGCCCTCCGAGGGCATGAAGGCAGGCCTGTTGCTCAGCCGGAGTTTAGTCTGCAAGGTGTTGAAGTTTATCTCCAGCTGACACTTCTCCTGCACTTTGGGAGGCTTATGGACGCGCCTGTAGTCACGGAAATCTTCCAGTTTTTGCTGCATCTCTTGAATGGTCTTCTGTGGGTCACGGTCCTCCAGCCAGGGGATAGTGCGTTTAATCCACTCCAGCAGCTGCGGGGGGAGCAGACTCAGGTTAAGCGGAGCATGAGGAGCAGCAGCAATATACCTGTCATTGGCCCTTCAAGGGGGAAGTCGCAGTCAGGTTGGGGAATGTGCCAGGGAGCCATGTCTCTCTGGCTATTGACATCCCTGATCTCTCACATCCCAAAAGGGTAGGCCACCCTCCCCAATAAACCGCCAGGCTTCCTGTCGGCTTCCAGCTCAGAGCTCCCCTCCACGCAGGAGAGGGGCCGGAAGGCAGGGGGACTCACATCAGACGCCAGTTTCTCGTAGTCCTCCATCAGGTGCTCATTCTCCTGGTTCACAGCCAGCACTTTGCAAATCCGGTTAGCTGCTGTCTCAGCCTGGGGGGAGGCAAAAGGGGAAGGGGGGGGATTTTAGAGCCATTTGCAGCACAGCAGCAAGGCCAATGCATGAAAGGAGAAGCCAGCAATGTTACGATCCATCCAGCCCCACCCAGAGGAAAGGAAAGCCACTCTGAAGCTAGACCAGTCCCCTCAGAGGGACTTGCTGACGGGTTTAATCAGCACTTGCCATGTCATATGGAAGATTTACCCCGAGGCCTCATCAGCTAGAAGATGCCCCTTGCATAACTCGCCATGACAGTGCACCTCACCCACCAGGGAAGCCCCCGGAGCTCCGGCTCCCAAAGCCCAGACCGGCGTTGCCTCTGCTAGTGGGGCTAATTGGGAAGTAGGTGCCATCTTACAGATGTGCCCCTGCTTCCTGAGCTGCCCCGGTGTGTTTTACCAACACCAGATCTTTCCTCCAGCGGCTGAGGCTCGTGGCTTCCGAACGTCTGCTCCACAGAGCAGGGAGCCTCCAACGGCGCTTGGGAATTCGGGCTCGGATGGATCCGACCGATCAAAGCTTTTTTCCAAGCTCAGCATAAGCAGGTGATATCTGAATGGCTATCGGCCAGAGCCTCTCCACTGCCTTGAGGGGAAGATTAAGCCCTCTGCATGTTCATGTGCACCTGAGCACCCCAGTCAGGTAGGCATGTGCCCATTTTACAGACTGGGAAACGGAAGCGACATGCCACTGAGCCTGGGGCAAAGCAAGGAGTAAGACCTAGATCTCAGGGCTGCTCCTCATGTGCCTGTATCTCCAAGGCCACCCATCTCCAGGGCCTTGCGAAAGCCCAACTTGCTAGCTCCCGGAATGAGGATCTGCCCACCACCGCCAGCCTACACCAATTCTGAAAGAGTCTCTGACACGGCACCTTCCCACTGTTGCGCCCAGATCCCCTCCCCAACATCTGAGACTCCCATATCTTCCCCTAGGCACCGCACCGGGCTCTCTGGTTTAGAAGAATGGAGCACATGGTCAGTTGCACCCTACAACGGTACAAGACCAGATTGCTACATTCTCACCTGGAGTGTTAACTGGCTGGACTAACAGAGTTCGTAAACTAGTATTTTACCAAGTAAGTGTGTTTGTGGTAGTGTCAGAATCTCTCCACTTTGTGTATTCCACTTCTTATTCAACACCCGTTGACTCCTCATGCTTAACGAACTCAGGATTTAGCTCCAGAATTCGCTATTTGTCAAGGCACTCAGCATTTCAGCCGCTGCATTCTGGGTTACTGTCTTTCCAGAACTACGGCACTGAGGCCATAAGCATCCATGATCAATCGTTTCTCATTGTCAATGAGAACAAGCCCCTGTTCCCTGACTGGGATTTCACTGCAGCCTTCAGTACTGTACACACGCCTTCCTTCTGCGAGGCAGGTGGGGAAAGGTGAAATTCCTCTGTGGATCAGATAGGAGAGTGGGATACGTGGATGCAAAGAAGGAAAGTCAAGAGATCAAGTACCTTGTAGGCAGCACAGAAAGAGTCCAAGAGGAGGAGTTGAAAGCCAGACATCAACAGAAATAGTGAAGAGGGTCTATAGGAGGATGGGGAGAGGAAAACAGAGCTGGGGAAACGAATTGCCAAAAAGACTAGACAGCAGAAGTTTGATTCCCTTTAGCAACAAAACAAGCGACAAGCAGTCTGGATTCTAGGCTGTATTCTCCTCCTCACACTGCTGGGTACCACTTAAACGTATTAGACATGCTCACATGCAGCACACATCCGTTGCCACCTCAGACTTGGGATTGGAATTAGAGCACGACACACAAGAACACTGGAAAAACCACCGCATGCTACGAGAAGCTAATAAATACCAGCTGATGCAGAGAACATGCCAGCTGTGCTGCTAAAGATTGGGATCAGACAAAGAACAATAAAACACACTGGCCAGGCCAGAATTTCACACATTACATCCACCCAGGGAGCGCCTGGGAGAAGTGCTAGCTAATACACGCAAGTTCAGACTTTAATAGAAAAATTTCAGTCCAGATGGGATACGTATCCAGTATGTGTGTTTTTTCAAACATTGGCTAACAAACAAGGTTAATGCTTCCAGCCTATAAAAGTTTTACACTTTACTAACCAAGTTAATCCTGATCTTTAATAATCACATCCTATAGCTGAACAGGATCTAGCGCTGACAAAAGTATGCAGCATGTGAAAAATGTTAGGCCATAATCCTAGATCAACTCTAGGAATTATTATAGGGAAGTTCTAGGGCAGGGGTGGGCAAACTTGTTGGCCAGAGGGCCATATCTGGGTATGGAAATTGTATGTTGCGCCATGAATGCTCACGAAATTGGGGGTTGGAGTGTGGGAGAGGGTGAGGGCTCTGGCTGGGGGTGCGGGCTCTGGGGTGGGGCCAGAAGTGAGGAGTTCAGGGTGTGGGAGGGGGCTCCAGGCTGGGGCAGGGTGTTGGTGCGGGGGTGAGAGAAAGGGCTCTGGGGTAGGGCTGTGGATGAGGGGTTGGGGGTGCAGGAGGGTGCTCTGCACTGGAGGGGTTCAGAGGGCAGGAGGGGGATCAGGGCTGGGGCAGGGGAGGAAGAGGGGGCTCAGGCTCCAGGCAGTGCTTACCGTGGTTCCTGGCCAATCGGTGCTGCAGGGGCGGCGCTTGGGGTGGGGGCAGCATATGGAGCCCCCTGGCTGCCCTTATGCGTAGGAGCCGGAGCATGCCACTGCTTCCAGGAGCCGTGCAGAGTGGGGCAAGCCCCTGACCCCATTCCCCGGCTGGAGCACCAGAGCAGGACAAGCTCCGGACCCTGCTCCCCGGCGGGAGCTTGAGGGCCAGATTAAAACGTCTGAAGGGCCAGATACTGCCCCCAGGCTGTAGTTTGCCCATCCCTGTTCTATGGCCTGCGTTACACAGGTCAGACGAGATGGTCACAAAGGTCCCTTCTGGCCTCAGAATCTATGAGCCGTAAAACACCAGTCAGCGGAGTGCCTGTGGCTGAGGTAATTTACGGATTAGGTACAGCTATGCCATTCTGCCTTCAGCTGAGTAAAACTACTTCAAAACTCATAGGCAGTCAAGATGCAGGCTACTCCTCTCTGCATAAAATAGCCCTTGTAAGCATCCCCAGCTCATCCCTAGACTATACAACAGATTAGACCAATATCTGCTACTATGGGCAACTCAATTCCTAACAAAGGGAACAGCCATTCAAATCCAGAATGCAGTTCAAGGAAGCCATGATGCCTGCAAAACAGGAGAACGGTTAGGCTACTCGTGTGCTTTGACCCACTGCCCATCCCGCTGACTAATACTGTCGTCGTTTCCTTGCACTCCGCCAGGTGTCTGTATTCAGCCGCTGTCTCAGGCTGTTAGCTCTTCAGGGCGCAGCCTTTCATTTTTGTTCTGTGTCTGTACAGTGCCCAGCACAATGGGGCTCTTCCGAACTAGGGTAACAAGCAAGAAAGGAAGCTACTCCCCATCTTTGGTCCAAGAACTTTGGGCAGGTGTAGCACGTCTGGTGCCTCGCATTTGAAATGGAATGCGTCCAGTTCTGCCTGAGCCCCGGTTGGACCCTCAGAGCCTGATGCTCTGTTCCCCTGTACTGCATGGAATCATTCACACCAGTGAAAAGGTGGGAAGAAACACTACCAAGCTAGACTAGTGCCATTTTACATGGGCGTAATGGCCAGGCACTTAATCTGGATCTTGGGCCTCAGTTACTGATGAACGATCGGAGACTAGTTTCAGCCTTGCTCCAATACTGGTTTAACAAGTAATCCAGATGCTACAGTACAGCTTGGTTCAGTAGCATCAAAAGGTCCCAGTGGTGCTGGCTCCTGTACAAGCCTATAGGGCAATCATGGTCCCTGCCCCAAAGAGTTTACTCAACAGTTCTCCTTAAAAATCAAAGCCGGACAGACACCTTTGGTCTGCAGCAAGGCATATAAATGGCTCATTTATCCCCTGAAGCCCAGTTAGCACTAAAATGGCATTTAAAGTGAATCAGCAATTAAAGATGCATCTCAAACTTCCAAACTACAGCAGCTACACAAGCAATTAAAGACAATCCGACTGACCTGGATTTGCGTTCTAAATGCGAACAAAAGTTGCAAGCATTTAGTGTGGTAAGGGAAGGAAGGGAAAACCACAGTTTAAGAACAACACGAAGAGCGGAAGCAGCACAGAAATTCCTGCTTGTAATCTAGTTTCAGATTTTAGTCAGCAGAGTCCCAGCAAGACTGTAACCATAGTAGATTTGATATTAACAGGGGGGCTTGATTCCGAGAACCAGAGGTGTAATGACTTACCCCAATCGAGATCATAGTGAGTCAGGGCAATGCTAGAGTCTAAGGTAAAGATTTTCCAGAGAGCACAAGTCCCATTTCCAAAAATGACTTGGGAGACAGTCTGTTTGAAAGTTAATAGGCACGTCGGGGCCTCACAACCAAGTCACTTTTGAAAATGGGACTTAGACGCTCTTGAAAATGGTATGATAGTAAAAGTCATCTAGTGGCAGTATCTAGCTGCCATTGAAGGATGTTCTTCCCAATCAGTTGTCTACATAAAGAGCCATATTGGTTTCAGAAAATCTCTGTCCTTTCCCCTACGATAGCAGAGGGTAACAGCAAGGCTAACCTATTATGGATTTGGGCATTGTCAGGTACGCTCTTCAAAGAGCTGAGTGTTTAAGCAATGTCTGATTGATAGAACTCTAACAAGTCTGTTTTCCTAAACCCAATCTTCCTAGTGATATTCTCCACTGCCAAAGAAACAGAACCACCCCAAAATGGCAATATTTAAGATGAAATGGGGCTGAGAAGGATATTCTAGCTAAACGAGGGAAACCAGCACTTAATAGAAATGCTGATGCCAATCTCATTTGGCACTATTTTGCTGCAGAGCCTAGTATGAGAAGCATATTAAGAGCAGCGATAAGGGTTCTGGATAAGAATTGTAATCGCACATAAGACAGAGCTCAGGAAGGGGATGAGAAAGCAAACAGGATATACACAAGGTTAAACTGTCATCACCAAGACTTTCAAATGATTTTGGTGCTGCTGTTATCCTACGTGCCAATCAACTGACAGCAGTGCCATTTGCACAGACATGGCATTTTCATGGGAAATGAAAAGCCTAATGCAGAATCAAATTTGATTAAGTCAGCGGAGTCATCCAGATTTGTGCTCATTATGCCAGTGATCCAAGAGTCCCGCTGCGATCATAAATACTTGCATGCTAATTTCAGATGAGCACTCTGTCAGCGACCTTCCTGCACCATAACAGCCACTGGGGGCTGTTATTTGGGCACTTAATTATGCCTCTTCCCCACATCCCCAGCTGGAATAATTTTTTTTAGTTTCTATTGGGCCAGCAATGAGTTTAGACATCTTTGTATCAAGCGTGTTAAACGAGCCTCAGCCAGGGGATCATGGCAAGCAGAGAATGGCTTGTCATAATGTAAGCTAGCTTACTCCTCTCCAGCTCCATCAGATGTTACTGTGAAGATCTCCCATCTAACACCAGTGTTTGGAGGACAGTGAAAAGATCAATTAAAAACTGGGTGATTACTTCCAGCAGCCAGTGGGGGTGAGAGAGGAGAAGTAGTGACCCTTCAGCGGACAGCGCTACGTACCAACCACCCCAGATTTTTATTATTGCCGGGGGCGACGCGTTTGTTTCTCCACCAATCTCAGTGGCTAGCGATCATTCCAGCCGTTTTCACTCATCACATTTCTCATACGCCCTTAATGCCAGTGTAACAAGCCTCAGTGAGTTGCTTAGTGTGCAAGATTAGTGGCAGCTGAACCAGACAAGACATGCGTAGACGCAGAAGCAATTCCACCTGCCAAAAGCTCACCTTTTGAGCCCCCGAGAAAGCATGGTAGAAGCAGGAAACATATGTCATGATCGCCTTCTCATCGGGCCTGAGAGTGCCTACAATATCTGCGCAGAAAGAAAGGAAGGAGAGTGAAGAGAGCAGCGTGAGAACCTCCCAGCCCCTCTGGCATGCAGCTGAGAGGGAACAAGCGCTTGCTTCAGACTGGAATCCAAACCTAAGCTGGAGCGTGACTCAGCCAAATGGGCTGTTTTGCTGCTTTAAATCTTTTCCACTCCGTTCAGAGTTCCTGTCCCTTAAAGTCTGAGGCTCACCCAAGACGACTAGCTCTACTCCGCTAGCAGCCCTTGATTTGAGACACTGGCTAGGAGTCTTGGGATTCAGCTTCACAACGCTCTAGGTTGAAAAGTTGATTTCTCCTACTGTTTATTGCTACATAGTTTTCCCCTCACGAATGATATACCTCAGTCACCTACTCTATAAAGATGATTTTTCTGGTCCCTCTAGTGTTACATAATAGCTGGAGCCATGGAAGCTGGACAGCTCCCTGAGCATGTATGAACTAGCTGAGGTTTGCTTTCCAGTCAGCAAGAGACCACTGCCATCTGCAAGAAAAACTGGGTCAGTGTAGGATGCCGCAGTTCGAAGAGTTATAGCGAGATGGACACAGCTGCCTCCGGTACCTTCTGCGCGCCAGAAAATGCATGGTAGAAGCTGGATACATAGGTCATGATGGCCTTCTCATCAGGGCGAGCTGTGTTGACAATGTCTGCAAGCGAACAATAAGTGTTAATGCCCTCACGGGGAGAGCCTGGTTTCACACTGAGTCAGACTTGATGGCCAAGGCACGTCCTGCGCATCATCTCAAGAAACCCGCTCTTCACCATTCTGTAGTCCTGTAGATAAGCAGCTCTCTAAAAAAATAAGTGCCAGAATATCTGGGTGGGCAGAAGAGGCCATCAAAATTCTCCTGGATATACTACAGACCGTGAAAGATAAGCTTGTCAACCAAGACTGAACACAAGCCATTTGCAGCTACTGGTACTGAATGAATCATTTTACCTAGGGCAGCTGCTACGGTTTCTGCGACTGTTTTGAAAAGGGAATGTTGGCCCCAGAATTTAGTGGTGGAGACAGTCTAGTGAGAATACCACCACACAAAACAGGAAGTGGGGTGCACTTTTACCCAAAGTAATCAACACGTGGTTCCTCAATTCCGGTCTCACTTCTCGTTCAGTACACACCATGGCCCTACCCAGGAAAGGTCACTACGTTCTGTGAGCATTACATTTACAAATGGGAGTGAATATCTGGAGACAGCCCAGGTATCAGAGGACAATTAGTTCCAGTTGGGACAGCTTCACTACTAGTGAAAACAGAGTATGGCAAGATGCATTTGACAACAAATTGCTGATCCGTCATGCGCTTACAAAGCTGCAGGATTAGCCTTAGGTGGCCTTTCAAAGACAAGCCTAGTCATGGAAAGGGTGGGAGATGTGAATGCTGTATGGAAGGCCAAGTCTGGCTTTTAAACACAAGCCAGGCTGGTTGCCCTGTCAGGTCAGACCACCCGAGGCCCAGTCCTGTGTGACGCAGCAATGGAGGAAATGCACTTTCCTCTTGCCTTGACAAGCAAGTTGTTCATGGGACTGGGTCATCTCCACTGCAATGGCAGAAACTTCCACTGACCCAGGTGGTTACTGCAGCGAGCGTCTGGAAAGCTTACCCTCGGCATCCAACATCTTGGGGATGTCCAGGTATTTCTCGGCCACCTCAAAGGCGTTGTTCAGGTTCGTCACAGGATCATCCTGGGAAAAGGACAGTTGTAAGAAGGGGTTATGGACCTGAGTTGCTGAAAGCTCCCTCTAACACAGGTGGCACTGCTGCCCCAAGGGCTGCCTGACATCCCCCCATTTCCTCTTGAATGCTACAGCAAGTCTGCCTTCATGTCTAATCTTTTCCACCAATGACCCAAATGTTCCTCAGTCACCTGCTCCCATTAGCCAACCATTCCCTGCCAGACTCCAATTCCCGTCTCACTGAACGGAACAGAGACTAACATGTGACAGGAAGTTCTTTTCATATCCTGCCTTCTAGCATTGACTTCACCTTCTAACAAGACACACAGCTAGCAGCTACAATGGGGGTCGGAGTTTAAGTGGGACGCGTGTTTCCCTGGGGCGCATTCAGCAGCACAGAACTTGGCTTCTGAAGAGAGGATAACATGGCCACTGCAGAGATGTACCTTTCTGAGCTTGTCGTATTCAATGAGCTCTGGTCTGTGTCTGTGGATCAAGGCATTGAAAGCAAGACCGTCCTTCCAGCTACGAAAGAGATCAGAGAGTTAGATGGCTTTGGTGTGTGGGGTTAAATACATGTATTTGTATAACACACTATAGAAAATGATCACCAATACATACTAGAGTCCAACAGATTTTTTTTTTTTTCCAGTTCACCTTGATTTAATACCTCTAGAAGTAGCAGGACTGAGTACTATGCACAGTTAACTGCATGCTTCCTTTAGATCGGGCATTTCAGGTTCTTTCACCCCCGCTGGGCCCTCCTGAGAATAACAGCCCAGATAAGAGGCAGCAATGGCTGGAATTGCAGATTAAACGAGAGCGAAACATGCATGAATTTGGGGGTTTTGTTCCGGCCAAGCTGCGCTAAAAGCATCACTTCCCTAATGGCAGGCCCATTGAATATTTCATGGAGATGCCTCTGAGGCCGAGGGAATGGGCTATTTCTTGCTGTCTTCAAGACATGCAGCACTGCCTGCCAACACGGAGAGCTCTTTCTGAAGCGTGTAAAGGAGCAGACAGAGTTGAGCACTCGCGAAGAGGGGGTCTGACAAGCAGTTACCTGATGTGGAAATTTTGTACATTGACGTTCTTGTAGGGCGCCGTCTTCCTCTGACACCACAGCAGTAGGCCTTCCTTGGCAGAGGTCTCTGCAAAAGGCACAGGGCAATTAAGGGACTGTGCCCAGGAGCGTGTCTCTCCTGGTAGAGTTTTAGACCAAGAACATGAGACAAGAGTGCAACAGATGACAGAGACTTATCCACAGACAGTAAAGGGTGTAACCTGCCCCCTGTTTAATGTTAGTGTTGCAGTATGTGTTTCAGAGTAGCAGCCGTGTTAGTCTGTATCCCCCAAAAGAACAGGAGTACTTGTGGCACCTTAGAGACTAAGAAATTTATTTGAGCATAAGCTTTCGTGGTCTATAGCCCACTTCTTCGGATGTGTCTGAGTCACAAGCCAACCTGGTCAAAAACATGCAAATCAAGTACTGCAATTCATATTCAGGGTGATCTCAGGGTAGTTTATTTTCCATCGTGGTTGTTTCCAACTAGGAAGGACAGTCTCCAGTTGGTGTGTTGAGTCAGGACAGCTGCAAGTATGGGGTAAAAAAGCTCATCTTCCTTCTATTACCACTAGGTGGCTGGAGGGATTACCCCCAAATCTGGATCAACACAGGGGAAGAACAGTGTAGAAAAGAACACCGACCTCCCACCACGCAGTCCCAGATTCACATGGGTCAGGTATTTAGCACTTACGGCCAACAGAGCAAGTGAAGTAGAAGCACAGTAAGTGATTTACTGAAACAGACAGCTATGCAAAAAGTGTGCATTGGAAACGTGACTTGCAGATGCATGAGCTGTCCTGGATTACCATAAAACTGCATCAATTCACTGCACCAGTTTTATCTTCCCCATCGTACATTCTTTGTGCTGTAGTTACACAGATCTCTCTAATGTGCTGGAGAGCAATGAAGCAGAAGGTAAGGACACAGCTTGCACACGCCTGGCTCTTACCTTCCACCGAAATGTCCTGAATGGCAAATCGAAGGATAATTGTCCAGATCATGCCCAATGTCATCTTTGCATTGCCATCTACAATCTCTGAAAGCAATAGAGGAGAGAAGAACATTGACATTAAACTCACCAGGGATGGAGGAAAACCTCGTTTTCTTAATACAGACACATCAGCAAACAACTTCCAGGTGCAAGCAAGCTAGGAGAAGGATTTCAAGAGGCACTACAGTAAATAGCCATTAACACCTAGAATTTTCCTGGGGTCCACTTGAAAGCCAAATACTAGGCCGACTGCACCGTCTGCACATCCAGAAAGAGTTTATTGCTTTCTGACTCAAACACTTCAGGATTTTAAGTTCTGGTGTGTCCTTAACCAGTTTACATTTTACTCTATAGAGGACAGAGGGACAACACTTCAATAAAGGATATATGGAGGCTAATCTTTTCATTCAAAGTAGGAGCTCACATCTGAGGACTCAAATCTCTGAAGGACAAGTAAGGAGCAATGAGAGAAGGTCTCCAGTCTGCATTCTGATACTAGACAGTGAAGCAGAGGTACCAGACCAGTGCTCAAAGTTTCATTAGCAACACTCGTGGAGTTTCTGGAATCCAGACTTTACACTGTGTCTCTTTAGTATACCCGGGTACATTTGGCAATTTTGAAAGAGAGTCGGATAGCACTGGACCAGCCCGACGGCACAAGCTTCCCACACATAGCTCATCCCCAATCCCCCTCTATCCAAATTCCACTCCCAGATCCCATGAGCGGACAAGGCGAATGGCTACAAAACTGACAACTGGGCATCATCCTGCAAGGACACATGATATTTCATTAATGACCTCACTGCAAACTTATATTTAAACCCAGTTCTCTAGAGTAATAGGCTGCAACACCCACTGCCATGTGGACAAAGCCAACTACATCTGCACTCAGCCTGTGACAATGCTAGCTAGTCACAGCGCAGGAGCCATCTAGATCAGCGGCTCTCAAACATTTGTACTGGTGACGCTTTCACACAGCGAGCCCCTGAGTGCGACCCCCCTTATCAATTCAAAACACCTTTTTATATATTTAACACCATTAGAAATGCTGGAGGCGAAGTGGGGTTTGGGGTGGAGGCTGACAGCTCGCGACCCCCCATGTAATAACCTCGCAACCCCCTGAGGGGTCCCGATCCCCAGTTTGAGACCCCCTGATCTAGATACATCAAGAAAGCCTCTTTCAATCCCCCTCAAAATGATGAGTTTGCATCTATTAGTTTCAATTGCATGAAATAAAGGAGAGTGGGAAACTTATGTGATTACGGAGATTAAGGGACCCTATCTTAGTTAAACCGTGATAGCAAGAAGATTTCTTTGAACAACTAGACATGGAATTTCCAACGTCTCTTGAGCAGCTAAAAGCCTCTTCCAAACCAAATAAACCCTTGGAAGCATGAAGAATTAAGTCTGGGTACCAAGAGGGCTGTTGAACAGTCACAGCACCAGCTGATATCTAGGAGGAGAGCTCGGTGGATAAATTGGCTTTCGTAAATCAGATACCCCATCCCTGCATCCTGAATTGTAATGTGGCACTAGTTGGAACGGGCACTGGTTTCAGGTATAGTCAGGAGAAAAGACACCAGTCACTAGATTTAGAGATGCAACCTCAGTGCAAGCCATGTTACTTGATTAATTCAAACTGGCTTTGCAAGGTAGCCTAGAGCCAAGTGACGTCCTAGCAATAGCCCTCGGTGTCTAAGCAACAGTGAGAGTTTCACAAGTCCAAGGAACAGGTCATGGTTCTTGTGAGCAAGGACAGGTTCTATGAAGAGACGGTTGCTGCAGCTTGTATTTCTGGGGAACAAACTGTCATATCAGATCAGCTCAGCATCCTATCCAATAGTGGCCAGTGCCAGATGCTTTAGAGGGAGGAAATAGGCAGAGGTTTCTTGCTCCAAGGGAAGTTTCTTTCGAACCCCCACCACTCAGTGGTTTGCTTATGCCCTGAGGCATAAGGGATTCAAATACGCTAATAAAATATTTCTGTCTAACGTAACTATATTCCTGGGTGGGTAATTTAACCAAATTTATTCCCACATTCTAAACTCCAACCAAAATATCAAGGGAAAAAATGTGTTTAAAAATGCAGTAGGCTGGACAATCTAAGGGTAGAGAACTATAAATAGACGAGTACTGATGCACATACAGAAATCACCAATAAGGAGACGGAAGAATTTAGTTCTCTTCTAGACTATCCTCCTTGGGAAGGAAGAGAGGAGAAATACTTTGCATTCAAACTAGTTATCTTAAACGGCAAGATTTTAAGTTATTTGCAATAGTGAGAGAAAATATAGTAAGTACTTCTCCCTCACATCCAGGGGCGGCTCTATGTATTTTGCCGCCCCAGTGAGGCAGCCTTCGGCGGCACGCCTGCGGGAGGTCCGCCGGTAACTCGGATTCGGCGGCATGCCTGCGGGAGGTCCCGCGCCTTCGGTGTACCCGCCACCGAATTGCCGCCAAAGTCGCGGGACCGGCGGAGCTCCCGCAGACATGCCGCCGAAGGCAGCCTGACTGCCGCTCTCACGGCGACCGGCAGGCTGCCGCCCGCGGCTTGCCACCTCAGGCACGCGCTTGGTGCGCTGGTGCCTGGAGCCGCCCCTGCTCACATCAACTTCTCATTTAGGAACCCCAGAGAGACAGACGCAAATGTTAAAAAAAAATCAGGATAAAAACTATTTTGTTTTTCATGCTATTAGGCTTTATTGTAAAGTTTCATTATGGAAATAGCCAAAAAACCCTGATATCTGTGTAAATGGAGAAATAGTTTTCCAAAGTGAACTCACCATTAATAGCATTTTAATGGACCAGCTATCTGGATATTCTCACTATTCTGCAATTCTGTGAAGGTCCTCTGGGGTCTGTTTAACCAGGGTGTTTTTCTTTGGACAGATTAAATAAATGCAGCTAGGAGAGGCAGAGCCAGGAGTGGGTCCAGCCAGGGCCGGCTCCAGCTTTTCTGCCGCCCCAAGCAGCCAAAAAATAAAAATAAAATAAAAAAGACGAGCGGCAGCACTTCGGCGGCAGCTCAGTTGCGCTGCTTCTTCAGCCGCAGCTCCCCCCCCCTCCTCTTCAGCGGAAATTCGGCGGCAGCTCAAAGAGGAAGAGAGGGAATGAGGGACCCGCCACCGAATTGCCACCAGAGACCCGGACGTGCCACCCCAATACCGAACGGAGTGCCGCCCCTTTGAATTGGCCGCCCCAAGCAACTGCTTCCTACGCTGGTGCCTGGAGCCGGCCCTGGGTCCAGCTGTAAAGAACCACTAAAGAAAATCTGAGGTTCTGATCTGAGAGCAGGAATTTTGCTTTTTAAATCATAACCAGTTGACTGCCAGCATATATGTTTGGCAAAGCTCAAAGAAATACCAGGCCTGGAGACTTGGAACAATGCAAATACAAATATTTTGCTTTTCTGGACACATTCTTTGATCCACGCACTAATGGCAATTAGTTTTAAAAAATAGCAGCATGCCGCCATCCAACTGACCATGGAGAAAGAATCATGCCTTGAACTAACTGTTCAAACGGCTTTATAGGCAGTCACCAGGGTTCAATATTAATTTCCAAGCTCCCAAAAAGCTTTTAAATTGCCTTAAGGATACTTGGCTTCCCTTGGATGGAGCTAATGGTGGAGAAGAGGAGATGCTTACAAGCCTTGTTCAGAGCAAGACATTCTTCACACAGGGCCAAGACCACGTGCATTACGCTCAGATACTCTAAGCCAACATTGCTGCTGATTCCACTGACACTTGACTGCATAACAGTTCCCAGGAGGAGCCATAGGTTTATGGTTTTTTCCTTTCCCACCCCCGTAGCATTCAGACAACAGTAAGGTGGGATCCAGTGTCTCTTCAGTATTTCTATGGCAGGTATCAACACTGATGATATTTATGGTTATCATGTGGCCATGGCTGTCTGTAAAGCCCCATGCACGCTGTATTCATCTATTAAAGAGTGGTACTTCCAACTGTGGTAATAACTCCTGATAAACGTCCCCTCCCTCACCAAATATGCTCTTGTACATACAACAGAAGGATAGATATTTTACCTAGGGGGTGACTTTTAGCTTAATCCACAATAGAGGGAGGAGAGAAGTAACTCCATCACTGATGAGATGGATGAGCCCATGCCAGAACTGACATTCACTGGTGATTTGGCTACTAAAGGTCTGGACACCCAGACTTCGGAATTGACCGTGGCTGTCTATAACTCTTACTCTCCAAGTGTTATTCTTGCCATCTAAGAACCAGGCATGGTGAGTATAAAGTTACATTTTAGAAATGAACGAGTTCTATTAAAGTGTTTACCCTGCATGTTAGCACAACTACAGCAATGGCAACCAACGATCGTCGTTTGAATGCAGTTAGGCTCCCAGTAATATGAACCTCTGGCCCAATTTCTCTCTATTGACTGAATTATAGGCATTTGGTGTCGTTCAAGTTATTTGCATAATCCAGTCTCCTCTTAGTGCCTGACGGAGAGGAGGGCTGAAATGATCCAACACCTTACTGTATAGAGAAAATAACTCTTCCAATTAGATGGTATGACCGAAGACTCCTAATACAGTAGGAGCTCAGAGTTACGAACTGACCGATAAACCATACACCTCATTTGGAACCGGGATTACGCAATCAGGCAGCAGCAAACACAAAAAAAGGCAAATACAGTACCGTTCTGTGTTAAATATAAGCTACTAAAAAACCCTTTCCCTTTAAAAAAAAGATTTGACAAGGTAAGGAAACTCTTTCTGTGCTTGTTGCATTTAAATTAAGGTGGTTAAAAGGAGCATTTTTTCTTCAGCATCGTCAAGTTTCAAAGCTGTAAGTCAATGTTCAGTTGTAAACTTTTGAAAGAACAACCCTAACGTTTTGTTCAGAGTTACAAATATTTTAGAGTTACGAACTACCTCCATTTCCGAGGTGTTGTAACGGAGGTTCTACTGTAGTCACGAGTTGAGGCTGGCTGTTGATACATTCAGAAGCCTAAATTACATACCTTCAGCTCCTATAGAGACCAGCTTAACTCCTTTGCTAGCGATGAAGTCTAGAGCTTTATTCACATTGTTGATTTTATGCACTCTCATTTTTCCTCGCTCTGGTTTGGGTAATCGCTCTCCTAAAGAGAAACAGAAGAGTTACAGTTTTTCTTTACAGTCTCAGGTGAGAGCTAAAATCACTGGATGCAAAGACAAGTGAAGAAGTTTAATACGAAACAAGTCCCTTTACCATGATGTCAAGGGCAGAAGATCTGTTTCTAGATAGCTGAAAAGGTTACTCATACTTGAATCATTTGTTAAAACACGCATTATGAATCCAACTAGTGGGGAAGGGACTGTCTCTTTGTTCTGTCTTTGTACAATGCCTGGCACAAAGGGGTCCTGATTCCATTACTAGAGCTCCTAGGCCCTACAGCAGGGGTGGGCAAACTACAGCCCAGGGGCTGCATTCGGCCCTCCAGACGTTTTAATCCGGCCCTTGAGCTCCTGCCGGGGAACAGGGTCTGGGGCATGTCCCGCTCTGGCGATCCAGCCGGGGAGTGGGGTCGAGGGCTTGCGCGTGCCGTGGCTTTGCGTGGCTCCTGGAAGCAGTGGCATGTCCCCGCTCCAGCTACTACGCGTAGGGGCAGCCAGGGGGCTCCACACTTTGCCCCTGTCCCAAGCACTGCCCCCACAACTCCCATTGCCCAGGAACCACAGCCAAAGGGAACTGCAGGGGCAGCACCTGCGGACGGAGCAGCACAGAGCCACCTGGCCGCACCTCCACTTAGGAGCCGGAGGGAGGATATGCTGCTGCTTTCGGGAGCTGCTTGAGGTAAGCACTGCCCGGAGCCTGCACCCCTCCTGCGCCCCAACCCCCTGCCCCAGCCCTGATTCCCCTCTCTCCCTCCGAACCCCTCTATCCCAGCGCAGATCACCCTCCTGCACTCCAAACCCCTCATCCCCAACCCCACCCCAGAGCCCTCACCACCACCCACCCCAACACCCTGCCCCAGCCCGGAGCCCCCTCCCACACCCTGAACTCCTCATTTCTGGCTCCCCCAGCCAGAGCCCTCACCCCCAATTTTGTGAGCATTCATGGCCCAACATACAATTTCCATACCCAGATGTGGCCCTCGGGTCAAAAAGTTTGCCAACCCCTGCCCTACAGTAATACAAATATTTAGAAAGACAGCATTATACTTGACCTACATTGTGATAGGTACCTTTATTATTTGTCTTGTGGTAATACCTAAACACCTTAAGGGTACGTCTGCACCTCAATTAAACACCCATAGCTCGCAGGGCTCAGGCTGCAGGACCCCAGCCTGAGCCCGAACATACATCCCTGCAATTTTATAGTCCCACAACCCGAGTCAGCTGATAGGGGCCAGCCACGGGTGTTTAACTGCAAAGTAGACATACCCTAAGAGGAGATCAGAGCCCCATTTTGCACACAAAACAAGGTGACAGGTCCTAGGCCAAAAAACTTATAACCCAAGTGTAAGTGACAGATTGGGAGGGAGCACAAGGTCCAGGGATTCTTTAAGTACCAGGTACAGTAGCAGTAGAGAGACAGGGACGCACCTGAAATGACCTCCAAGAGCAACATGAGTTTGAGCCCATCGCGGAAATCTTCATCTATGTTCTCGATCTGCGTGCCAGCTTTCCGCAGGTGAGAATTGCACCACGCCGTAAAAGTCTGGAGGAATAAGATAAGGAGGGTGTGATATTGCAGCGTTCAGTCTAGAAATGAACAGACAGGCCATCCAGATTTACACGAACTAGCCTATTTGGATCCAATACACCGAAACGTGGTGCAGTTCTCATCAATGCACATGTACATTAATTCACTCTTTGGTGATTATATTCATTGTGCTCACTCATCTCTAGGTCAGCTCACCCCCTTACAGTATCAGAACCATCTTACAGAGATTTTAGCTCTGCTATCATTTCCCGAAACTTATTCCAAGAACCACCGTTTTATTCTGTTTTGTGGCAAGACTAACTGGCTGCAGTAGAACAATGCAGCCTGACCCAACCTTTTAGACTTGACCAAATCCCAATATGGGGTTTGTAGAACCAGGGGGAGCTCAAGCGGTTTTCAAGCATTTAGCGGACACTGCTAAATATGGTGAGCATTTTTAAATACATACGAACAGGTCCTTGTTATGCTGCAGAGCTATGTGGTTAACAGGGACCAGAAAAACTGCTGCAGAGCGCCCAAGCAATTCTTGCACTGAGCGACAAAGATCATTCTGGCTCTAGCCGGACGCCTTCGGTCTATTCTTGGCTTCCTGTGGCCTCCTCGCTATGGCAAACAATTAAACACTGAGCTACGGAGCTTAAAATTGCACAAGCTTATTTGTGTCACATACCAAAACTCCGATGTGAAAACCACCACACGCTAAATGGCACAGCGTGGCTTAGCTCCTGCACTGTAGGAGTTCGATCCCTCCAATTGAGTGTCAATTTAAGCAGCCCCCACACAAACATCACAACGACCCTCGCTACGGGGAACAATATTAAACACATGCAATATTGCAAGCTGTTGTTCAGATGGGAGACACTCTGGAGTGAAGACGTTACGATCTGTCACTCTAGAAACACTATATTAACAATTCCACACATCCAAAAAAACACAAGATTAGTGCCACCAGACGAACACAATGAACAGCTGCAAAGTCGGAAGCAGTATGGAAAAGTGCGTTCAAGCCAGACACCATTTGTTTTGGCAACTGTTACTAACCCTGCTCATTCAAAAACTCCTAGACAGTAGCTGCTGAACTGATACTCCACCCTACACACAGCCGTCAGAGAGCAAATATGGTACGGTTAAAACGTGAAACACTAAGGATTTAGATGTGCCCATTTCAAGAGCTGCCACAGATTTACCCTCTTTATCTGATGAAGAGCACTTGGAAAGAGGACAGTGACAAGACTATACAGCAAAGGAAGTGAGACTGCAAGGATGAAGAATGATCTTTGGCAAGTCTGAGAACTAAAATCGCCATCTGTCTTGATTGTGTGTGTGTGCGCGCGCGCTCGGAAACAATAGTGTAATGGCACCAGTGGTAGAAATTTACACCAATCTAGAAATGGCAATTCACTCTTAACAGCCCTCCTCCATTCATCCAGAGGACAGCATGCCCAATGCGTAGGGCAGGACAGAAGAAGATGAATTAGGAATTAGTAGAGTCTACTGGGGGGGGAAGGGAAGGGAAGGATTTGGTCATTTTGCGCACTCGCACAATCAAAGTAAAATGAATGTTCCATTCCTCCCCACTGTCTATGCAAGATTGTTGGCCATATGTCATTCTTTGTCCAGGAATTAGATACTCAGCATCATGAAACATTCTTCAGAGGGTAAAATGAAAATTACGTGAAACACTGAACATGGAGCGTGTTTCACATTCTCGTAGCTTTAGGTATCAGCTACATGCTTTAGATATAAGTGTGCATTTCCTGAAGCAACCAGGTAACTGAATAGAAAGAGACTCCGCTTTACCAGCAGTTAGAGAGACTCCACGCAGTTTCACAAGCATCAAGTATTTTTAGTTTAGATACACAGCATTCCGATCATAGCTGAAAGCTGTAGTTCTAGAGAATTAGTGCAGTAAAGATCCGCACGTATCACGAACGGAGGCACAGGAAGCTCTAGTGCTTGAGATGTAATTTCTTCTTAATATGCAGCCATTTCCCATGTTACTACAGCGTGGCCTACAATTTAGACCCCTTGCCATGGGTTTTGCCCTGTTTTAGTCTGACCCTCGGCCTGATACAAAGGGCGCCTCTGCAGCCCAACTCCCAGCTCGCCTAAATACCCAGCCCATGTCTAATGTAAGAAACAGATATTTCCTGCTGCTTAGTCTAAACTCAATAGTGCTGCCTTTTACCCAAATGAATTATGGTCTGAACTTATAGTTTTTATTACAAGTGTAAAAAACTAACCTCAGACTCTGTTCCTAGTAGTCAAGGCTGCTAAAGGCCAGGGTAGGGCACATGGGCTACACTTCCTGGAACACTAAGGAAAGGCAATTAAGCAAGTGGCAAATTGTGTGTCATGCAACTACACCCATCCCCAGCCTGCCTCCTCAGCCGGGGGGATGAGCTGTAGTCACAGGAAGCCGCTGTCTCATTGTAGTTTATTAATATTTGTTGAACTCCACTGTGTTTGAGGCTATAAAAAGCCCTCCCTGTCCTCCAGGAAGTTTACTCTCTGATTTAACGGCAAATATCATTTTAGTTGTAATACAGAAATTACACAAACTGCTCTGCCTTCTCAGGAAGTGAGTAGCACAGAACTTATTCAGAGCAGTTGAAAAGTGATGCCCTAAAGACTTTTCAGAATAACCCACTAGTTATGCTGGTTTGGAGAAAGTTACTTCCAAAGTGGAAAAGTTAAGAGGGCACTGATCACTTGTTTCCTTCAAGGGACATTCTATTCGGCCTCCCTGCAGATCAATTACAACTCCCCCATACCCTTTCCTTAACCCTACCACTTAAACCTGCATCCAAGGACAAGGTTTAAAAAACCCATGAGTCATAACAGACCGCCTACCACCATTCTTCCACACACATTGTCCTGGAAGGGAGGGAAAGTTACAGGCTAGAATCACCTTTCAAAGACCTGTTGCATTCACAAGCAATTGAACCTCTTGTTCCAGCTATGGGCAGCTGTGCCTTTTATGATTAACTTTCACAACCCCACACATCTGTGCTCTCAGACCAAGGCAGAGTCCATGGCTGCTGGGAAGGGATGAGGAACAAAATCCAGCCATGTGTGTGTCAGCACAGGCCCTCCTAAAACTGCTGTGTGGCACCTCTGTAGAGCCAGGAAGCAGAATGAATGAACGGAGAGTATTGTTCCACCCCAAACATTGCTGGCCAATCCTTGGTGGCTTTGGTGAGCTCACTGCTGGGGAATGTTTCAATGACAGTTTTTAATGAGCCATTCATCTGATAAGGTTGAGAGGAAAAAATGTTCCCCCCCACTTCAATGAGAGAATTAGAGGATAAGCTTTTAAAAGAACTCCCAGAACTAGATTAGCGCTGTTTTCCCACTTGATCAATTGGCACCAGATTTCAAACGTTGCCACTCACTGAAATACAGTTTACCAAGAATTTTACATGTTAAGTGCCTTCGCCCCACACACACACCCCTTACTCTTGTGAAACATGTGCTTAATGACCTCAAAGGAGGAGAGGAAGGTAAATCAGCATCTCATAAGGATCTTGCCTCTTCAAAGCGATGGGGGGAGGTGAAGGGAGGAAAGGACTTTCAAAGACAGAAATCAAAGGTTGCGCTACGTCATGAGGAAGCAATCCTGTAACTAAGCTCTCAACAATGGAAGTTTATTTCACCAAACAGCAGGGGGACAGCGTCTGGGAACACAGTGTGCTCCAATTCAGGTAGGAGAGGCCAGACCTTCAAAGCCACTGCACCACAGCTGCAGCTCTGAAAGCATTCACAGTGTCTGAGAGGGGTCTCCTCGGTTGTGTAACTAAACAGAACCGAAGATACACTTCCAATTTGGGGACAATAAGGAAATGGTAAGCAAGCCAAGTTCACGGATGCAGATTCTGATGCTGCACATGCAAAAGGGTAGACCCAATGCTAGTGGTTTTTTGTTTTTTTTAATGTATTCCCAAAACACTGCAAGTATCAAGGGAAGTTACACAGGACTGCATTGAAGAGGGACACTTTATGCCACACAGTGAAGGTACAGAGCCATTTGGTTTTGCACTGAATTTCTAGAGATTTTAGCATGGCCACTGAGGACAGACAAGTAAACAATTACTATACTACTTCCATGTTCAGTGGAATCCATGTTTAATTCAATGTTAGAGTCTAGGGCAGGGGTGGGCAAACTTTTTGGCCCGAGGGCCACATCTGGGAATAGACATTGTATGGCAGGTCATGAATGTTCACAAAATTGGGGTTGGGGTGCAGGAGGGAGGGAGGGCTCTGGTTGGGGGGGTGGGCTCCGGCGTGGGGCCAGAAATGAGGAGTCCAGGGTGCGGGAGGGGGCTCCCGGCTGGGGCAGGGGAGTGGGGGGAGGGAATGGGTGTAGGCTCCGGCTATGGGTTCTGGGTTGGGGCTGGGGATGAGGGATTTGGGGTGTAGGAGGGTGCTTTGGGCTGGGATTGAGGGGTTCGGAGGGCTGGGGCAGGGGGTTGGGGCACGGGGAGAGGCTCAGGGGTGCAGGCTCTGGGCGGCGCTTACCACAAGTGGCTCCTGGAAGCAGCGGCATGGCCCTCTCCGGCTCCTAAGTGAAAGCGTGGCCAGGCGGCTCTGCACGCTGCCCTGTCTGCAGGCACGGCCCCTGCAACTCCCATTGACTGCTGCTGAGGGGGGGGAGTCAGAGCCCAAGCCCCGCTGCCCGGGGGGGGGGGGAGAGGGGGCTGCAGGCCGAGCCCCACTGCCCTGGGTGGGGGTAGCGCTTGGGCTTCAGCTTCCGCCCTGGGTCCCAGCAAGTGTAAAATGGGGTTGTGACCCACTTTAGGGCCCTGACCCAGTTTGAGAACCGCTGACTAAGCTATTTATAAACACCAAGCCACACAACCCTTCTAATGTACATATTGCCCAGTTTTCCGGGGGGGTGAATAGAACCCCGCTCTGCACACAGGTGATTAACAGGAGAGCACAGCACGTCAGCTGTACAGCCTGGAACAGCACCCGTGAATTCTGACTCAGTCCCT